GATCAAGGCGAAGGTCATCCATTCTTTGGCATTCTTGCTTCCTGTGTATGGACGTAAAACCTGGACAGTGAAGAAAGCTAACAGGAAACTATGCATTTGTAATAACTTAACATCTACCAGCACAAACCCATTGGAGTGAATCTCAGCAGTAAACTGCCATTAGTTAATCATTCTGCATAAGCATTACTGCTACACATCAGATGCATGGTTTGGCATGCAACAGTAAAGCAAAAGCCTTCACCGATTTCTTATTGTTACATTATTTTGTTTCTTAGATTTATTTAAAGTGTTATTTTTGTTTTATTATGTTGTGAACCGCCCAGAGTGGTCTTGATAGCCAGATGGGTGGTATACAAATTGAATAAATAAATAAAACAAAATTAACAAGGAATCGCACGGCACAGTGGTTAAACTGCAGAACTTTAAGCACTATGGGGTGATGTATAAGCCGCACACTTTGCTTTAACAAGTGGCAATTCGCCAGAGAAATTTATGCTAGTGGGACACAATGATGTGCCATCAAATTGATTCCCACTTAAGGTGAACCTATCCAGGGTTTTCTAGGTACACAATAATCAGAAATAGCTTGTCATTCCCTTCTTCTGGAGGATACTCAGGAGCTGTGTAGCATATTTATTTATTTGTTAGTCTATTTATAAGCCACCTTTCTCCCCATAAGAGGACTCAAGGTGGCACACAGAGTTAAAACAAGCAAAATTAAAAATATTAAAAACAAACTAGCAGCCTAATTAAAATTCTGTATTTCATGTCATTAAAACATTAACTTTAACTTGACCTTAGTTACCTAGGCTGGTGGTTTTCCTAGGAGGCAGAGTGAGGAATCAAATTCTCAACCTCTGAAACACCAGCATTTTTGAGTTGGATTCTGGCCATGCTGGAGAGTTTAATGGATAGTATGGTGTTCCAGAGCCAAGTAAATGGGATCTAGATCAAATCAAGACAGTGTTCCCCACTGGCAGTCAAATGGTTAAGCTGGAACTATTGTACTTAGGACATATGAGAAGATTAGCTGGAAAAAGACAATAATGCCAGGGAAAATGGAAGACAGAAGGGAAAGAGGAAGATATAATAGGAAAGGTATTGGCTCCATAAAGGAAGCCACAGCTTTGTGTTTGCAAGACCTGAGAAGGCTGTTAATGAGAAGATATTTTAAGAAGTCATTAATTGAGTTGCCATAAGTTGGAAATGACTTGACAGCCCTTAACAATTGTATGTTTCTCTGTTTTATAATATGAGAAGTTGGCGTGTTCTGAATAAAATCAGTAGGAACATACGTTTTATATGGAATGTATCGCCATAAAGATGTCAATGGCCAACTTTAAGCAGAAGAGACAAATTAAGGGAGGAGAATTCTATCAAAGGCAATTTGGCTGATGATATCTGAAGACACGAGTCTTCTGATTCAGGAGCAGTGAATCCTACAAGGAATGTTGAGGTTGACCCACAAGGAATAGCTACTTCCATCACATTTTTTATATAAGCTTATTGGAAGCAACTGGAGACCCAAGTTCTGGGCTAGTAGAATATTCACTTGGAGAAGTGGGGGGAGGAATAAGTTTTCATGTGTGACACAGAACTGTGTGTTTATAAATAATTTTTTAAAGTTCTGTAGAAATGTATTTACTGATTTTTTTTAACAAAACTGGCTTGGCACATTCTTCAAATGTTGTTTTTGTGGCCAAGCAAGACTCTTCAGACACTGGTATGATTTGTGCTACAGTAGATATTGGGTACCTCCTCTTCCACCCCTCCCAAGCTGAACAACCCCCAACACGACCACCACCTCAATGGAAATAGGAAGGATAAGGGTCTGCCTGATGGAAAGCATGGAACCAACACAGACAGTGCAAGAGCATAACTGTAGTCTTTCTGGGACCTGCTGTTATTTCACACCCTCCTCCTATCTGTCAATTTTTGACCCCTTCTCTCTTTTGTCAACGGGAAAGAAAAATAACAGTCTTTTTTTATTTTCTCTTTTGAGTTTTCCGAGGATTGCCCTTAGAAAGCCAAACTTCAGAGAATGGAAGTTTCACTGTACTCTGCAACAAATAATTACTCTCCCCCCCAACTTTTTTGGCAGTGAGGGCATAAATGGAGTTGCTTCTCTCCGAAGCAATGGAGTCAGTAGACATTCCCTGTTTTGGTGTAACTGAGGTTTCAGGAATACTTTTATAGTTACACTTCCCCCTTTCACAATGTTGCAGCTTGGGGTGCTGGACCCCCCACTACTCGTGCAGTTCAAAATCTGGGTATAAACTTAACCTCAAACTTAAGTACAAAGCATAAATAGTTGATGTAGACACGCACAGAGAATACTTCTATCAGGTTTCTCTTCCGGAACATTGACAATCTTTTCTATATATTAATGTTCGTAATGAGCTTTAAAGATCCCCATGAACCCACCCCCCCATCACCCAGTGGCTGAATTAAGAGATGTGTTTGGGGGCAAGTAGACCATTTTGATGCCTTCAGTGTTGAGTTTATGGGATTTTTTGGGGGTGGTGGTTAGGGACACAGTATTTATTACATATTTATTTATTTATAGAAATATTTATTTTTAAAAATCAAAAAATAAAACCAAAACCGTGCCCGCTCAGATCCGTGCCGTTCAAGGGAGAAGTGTATTTCTTAATGGCCATTTTTAGAGATTTCTGGAAACTTTCTGAAAGGGGTTCTTCCATTTTAGCCCTTCTTTCTTAGAACATTCGCCTCGTGTGAAAGACTGGAGAGCCGCCTACATGTTGGCAGTGCTGAAAATAAGAGAGGCACCATGACCAGTGGCGACAATTAAACGGTACGGGCTGTTGCTTTTGGCCAGGCACTCATTTTAGCATCCCACCCCTAGCAGGAGGAGTCCCCAGTTCTTCCTGCACTGGTTCACGATCAATCACCAGTCTTGCACTGGTGTGTGCCAGGAATCTCACTACAGAGTGAACGGGCAGTTGTGTGGTTACCCTTCCAATCCCCATTTAGCTGATGATAACTGCCCATGATGCCTTAAGGGCAATCTATCCACAGCTGCTACTTTCCAGATGCCCCGGACTACAAACCCCATTATTCCCCAGCCAGCAGATGATTATATGCCTCTGAAAAAGTGCCACTAAACTCCCAAAAGCACACTGCTAAAGGAACAAAGAACAAAATGTGCCAGTTGTGAGTCAAACTAGTTTACTGCATTTCCTCTTGTCAGTCTGATGGTTTCCAACATTGAGGCTACAACTAAATACTGTATCAACACGTCAATCATTTTCTGCAACCAGCATTAACATAAAACAGATTCAATTTTCAAGCCGCAAACGTGGCCACAGCCTTTTCTACGAACGCTCCAGTTTCTGCTGAAATGACACCACTCCGCTGAAGAGTACGGTATTTTTTAACGTAAAAGGTGTGCAGATGCTCCAAAATTTTTTTTCTTTTAAAAACTAAACAAGTAAGGTGAACTCAATCCAGCCCCAGAACCAGGTGGGAGGGGAAATGGAAAGGAACGGCTGGAGAAGAAAGTTGAAGGAAGAGACAGAGATTTTTTTTTTAAAGCAGAGAAAAAAGAATTCTCGTTGTCCAGATGGATCATTTCATGGTTTACACCAAGAAGGCATTTTCAAATGGCCTCAGTGATAGAGAGAAGAGCTGCCTGTAGATGTTAATGAAATCAAATGCTTAATATAGCTGGTAGGGGGTCCACTCTCCCTGCCTGCAAATGTAACAGGAGCATCTGGAACCCGGAACGGAACTCCACGCTGCAACATTTTGTTGCAGGGCGTCACTTGTCTTCCCATATTTTCTCTCGCTGGAGTAGTCTCTGTTACAGGGACACACCAGAACCTGCACGAGTTCGCAAAACAAACCATTAACTTCTTAACCGGAACTTGAACAATTTTCTGCATTATAACTGCCAGACATCCCCCCTCCCCAGAAGTATGGGAGTGATAGTCTGGAAAAAAACACTTTTCCAAGCTATGTTGGTCTTTGCTAATGAATCAGGTCTCCCTTTTCAAGTACCCTCTGAGCTTGGTCAGAGACGACATAAGCCACCCCATCTTGTGACTGCATGAAGTAAGAATATGTCTAAGCAGAGATGGGCCTTGTTGGGTTTGTGGGACTACAGCTCCCATAATTCCACAGTAAGTGCATGGGATTCAGCTGTGGACATCTGGGAGTTGTAGTCCCCAAAAGCAATGTTCTCCCATTTGACAAATCCCCGATTCCTTTGGAAACCCTGGAGGGGAAGCAGGCCCAAAACTGGACCCATTGCCATGGCGTCCACAAGTGGCAATCCCCCCCCGGTCCCAACACGAAGAGGGCCCCGGCTCCTGCGCAGCCTGAGCAGATAGACTTCCATGATGTTGCCAGAAAGCCAAGACAGGAGTTGGAAAGACCCACTGAGGAATTCAACCCTTAGGCTTCAGAACCGGCGACGGAAAAGCCCAAAGGATTCTTGCAGAGGAGATGATGGTTCCAACGACAGCTCCTCAAATTCTCTAACAAGCATGGCCTTCCTGTAGAGCAGGGGATGCTGGGAGCGATAGCGATAGGGAATCTTCTGCAAGGGGTCAGCCCAAACCATTTAAAGGGCCACAGTGAAACCTTTTCTTAAAAAAATCTTTTTTTGAATGTAGCTCCCAGAGACACCCCCAACCAAGCACAGCCATTTGGCGACTGGGGCATTCTGGGAACTGTCCTCCAGAAAAGATTATTTTCCTAAACTCTGGCCAAAGTTCTTCCCTCTTTCCTTGTCCTAGACCAGTGCTTCCCAAGCATGCGTCTCCAGATGCAGAAATCCTGGCCAACACGGTGGAGCTTTAGTCCAAGAACATCTGGTCACCCATAATTGGAAACCACTGGCCTACATACACCATCCTTGACCGATATTCTATTACCTTGAAGATACTGCTTAAGTCTCCCCAGCAAAGGAGAACTCACTGCCTCCTGTGGCATTTCTGGGTTTTGTGACAATGGTGGAGAAGGGAAAAAAAACTTCTTTTTACTCACCTCCTCTATACCATGCATAACTCTGTCAACCTTTAGCATGCTTCCCCATTCCTTTTCCCCCCCCTGTTTCCTAAACTAATAAGCCCCCAAAATTGCAAGCTCTTCTCACAGGAAAACTCATTGTTTTCAGAGAATACCCACGTCATCAAGGCCACGTCCGCAAAGCTTGGTCCTTTTCTGCACCCTTTCCAGGGTCCTCTCTGAGGTACAGCTTGGCATTAACGGCAAAATAAATAACTCTTACTACGCACTACAGATCAAGGATTAAAAGCAGGGCTCTGCTTTCTGAATGAGTTCTCCTATGGATCATCTGGTTTGGTCACGGACAGCTGGGGTATTTTAAACTTTTCTGTTCTCCGTACAGACTCTCTTATGTGCAATCAAGGACTCTCTTCTGTGTGGTGTGGGGAGTCTCTTATGTGTAATAAGGAGCGAGCTGCGAGCACAGTCTTTCCCCCACGTGGATCCTCTCGTGAGCCACCAGGACCGACCTCTCGTTAAAGCTTTCCCCGCAATCCGAGCAGCGGTACGGCTTTTCCCCGGCGTGCGTCCTCTCATGAACGATGAAGGCCGACCTCTTGCTGAAGCTTTTCCCGCACTGGAGGCACTTGTGAGGCTTCTCCTCGCGATGGATGCGCCTGTGGTCCGTGAGAGCCGCCCGGTGCTTGAAGGTCTTCCCGCACTCTGGACATTCGTGGGGCTTCTCTTCCAGGTGGACCGGCTTGTGGGCATTGAGGTGCGAGAGGTGCTCAAAACGGTCCCCGCATTCCACGCACTGGTAGAGCGCCCCCGCGGCGTGGATCGTTTTGTGGGCGATGAGGTTGGAGCGGTGGCTGAAGCTCTTGCCACAGTCCAGGCACTTGTACGGTTTCTCTCCCGTGTGGGTTCTCTCGTGAACGATGAGATTAGATCGGTGCATGAAGCTTTTCTCACAGTGGGCACAAGTATAAGGCCTCTCTCCCGTGTGGGTACGTTGGTGCACCGTCAGCGTCGACCGGTGCTTGAAGCTTTTTTCGCAGAAGGAGCATTTGTACCGCCTCTCTGCCAAATGAGCATTTTTAGGCACAGGGACAGCATTCTGCGCTAGCTGGTCTCCCTCTTTCACCGGGGAACTCCTTGGCCGACTCTCAGAGGGGGCTCTGCTCTGAGCTGGAGAGCGGGATACGTCCTGTTCAGCCATAATCCCGTGGGATTCCACATCCCTAGGGTTCTCCAGCTGGCTCCTTTTTGTCCCACAGGGGCTCCTGTTGCGTCCTGGAATGGGAAGAGAATGATCACTTGAGGTTTTCACTGCAAAAAGTTCTTTTTTAGGTATGGTTACATTTATAACTAGGTTACATTTGTAACTTGGCAGATCTTCCCATCCTTATAACAAGCCTCATGGGTTCCTAAGCTCAGAGGCATGCACCTACCTCGCATTAAGAAAGATCTTGTAACATTTTGTATTAATGCAACCTTTCAGTGGGTCTACACCACAGCTTGATCTGACTTTCACTCTCCTGGATCTACTTTAGGGAAACCTGGGATTTCTAATTTGAGCAGATCTCTAGAATTCAGAGCTGTCCTCCTCCAAGCCACCTGGTTTCTTGAGAACCCAGAGCTTAAACCCTTATTTAATTTTTTTTTTAAAAATCGTAACGTATTAGCAAAGTATGCTGCTTATATACCACCTCATAGTCCTCTCTCTGAGTGGTTTACAATGTAATTATGCAGGACAGGCATTGCCCTCACCCCCAGTGAGCTGGGCACTCCATTTACCAGCTTCAGGAGGATGGAAGGCTGAGTCAGCCTGTAGCCAATAATCTGAGCATGGGATCGAACTCAGATTGTGAACAGAGTCTTCACTACAGTACTGCAGATTAACTACTGCACCATGATGCATTCACTGTTCCTATGGAATAAAGCTAATATATCTTAACTTACTCCAATAGCTTACAAAAACATTTTTTTGCAAAATAAAATACTTAAAAGTTGAAAAATGGGCCCCAATTACTCAAAGTAGCCTCTTTTTTTTACAAAAAAGGAAAATACTACCTAACCATTCCTCACTATGCGAAAAATCAAGACACATTAGCATTCATATTAAACTGGCCACATACTAAAGTTATCACCCTCCCAAGTACCAAGTTTACTTGTATTGTGTTTCTTCTGATGCCTAAAAGAAACAGATCCTAATAAAAGGTATTCCCTAAAGGAATAAGAAGCAATCAAACACACTCCAAAATATTCATTACCTAAGGAAGGCGCTCCTCCTTCATCCTCCTCTTTGACCCCACTCAGGACAGGCCCCTGGCAGGCTTTTGGCACAGACATCACTATGTCGGAAGAACTGTCCCCTTCCTCCTTAAACGGAACCTAAAAGAGAAGTGACGGTCAAGGCAGAGGTTCCCTGTTTTTAAGAGCACCTCGTTTTAATGCAAAAAGTCCCTGGTTTTTGTGTCAATGTTACTTGCTTCAATGTTACTTGAGAATGTTGGATCCCTGGATGCTATCAGACTGCCATTCTGACCGTCGTGTTGGGTTTTAAATTCCTACTTTAGAAAAAGATCTGACGGCAAGTGACAGGAAGGACTCTCCTCTACCTAAGACCCCAGAAAGCCACTGGCATACAGACTGAGGTATAAACCAAACTGGACTGATCAATGTTACTTGCTTCAATGTTACTTGAGAATGTTGGATCCCTGGATGCTATCAGACTGCCATTCTGACCGTCGTGTTGGGTTTTAAATTCCTACTTTAGAAAAAGATCTGACGGCAAGTGACAGGAAGGACTCTCCTCTACCTAAGACCCCAGAAAGCCACTGGCACACAGACTGAGGTATAAACCAAGCTGGACTGAATTTAATACTTTCAGGCAGCGGATAAGTTAAAATACAGGTACTGATCCTGCAGATACGATGGCCCTACTGCATTCACTGAAAAGCTAGATACCCAGCCCTATGGTTGCTTCTCCCACCAGCTCCATTTTGGAATGTTTTACCATGCCCGAACAGAGGCTGAAAAAAGCTCCTTTTCCTGGACCCTTTCTTCTAGCCTGTCCTGTCCATCAAGTCCCCCAAATCCACTTTTCCAACCTCTGCTTTCTCTATCCATGTGAGCCCCAAGTGAGAAGCCCAGATGCTGGCTTGTGGTCCCTTGCCTCCAAGGCCTGCAGTCTCTCACACTCTTACCTCCACTCCTTGCCACTTTGGCAACAACCCCTCCGCCAGGGCCACTGCCTGGGAACAGGTCTCCGGCCCTACTTCTTGGACCTGGTTCCGGATCTGGGGAGGCAGGATGGCCAGGAACTGCTCCAGGATGACCAGCTCCAGGATCTGCTCCTTGGTGCGTCTCTCCGGCGCCAGCCACCGGTGGCAAAGTTCTCTGAGTCGGCCGCAAGCCCCCCGGGGTCCCTCAGCCTCATGGTAGCGGAACCGCCTGAAGCGCTGGCGCCACAATTCTAGGCTACCAGCATCCTCCTCATTTGGGGTCTCTTCTTCCACTTCCTGGAGACCAGCCTTGTCTTCCATCCACTGGTCACGACCCCTGCTGGTCTGCTGGGCCTTCTTGCTCAAGCCAGACAGGAAGTGGGCCAATTTCTTCCCTCTGCTATGCTCACTCTGGCCTAAGTGGGGCAGGAAAGCGCCGGCACGACCAAGGGACGGCGGCAGTGGCGAGCTCCCCCTTTCCAATTGAGTGGACTCCATGTCCTTCAGGAAGTGCTGCCACTGGGCTTCCCAACACTGCTTCAGCCTCTCCTCTGGTTCCCGTTTCATCTCTTCCGACTGGCTTGGTCCCTCCCTTTTCTCGGCGTCCCCAGCCCAGTCTGAAGGGGGGCTGCTCGGTCCAGTCTTGAGGCCCGCAGGATCCATCTGCTCATCCTTCATTCCCTTTTCAAGCTCAGCTTGGATTTGGAATCCTAGGGCCGGCACACTTCCAGCGTCCTCGGCAGCCATTTTCTCTTACAGGGCCTACAGAGGCGGAATAGGCGTCGGGGGACTACCCTGGAAAGTAGGGGGAGAGAACAATTTTACTCACTAAAAGAACAAAATGGGTGTTAAAATCAAGTCAAACTCCCCCTCCCCCAAACTAACGTGATGTTCACTCTATATCTGAGTGTGTGTCTCCGCCTGAAACAGTCACCGAGCAGGTTGAGACCACCTGAATTGTCACGGCTCCATTCCAAAGAATTCTGGGATTTGTAGTCTGGCAAGGCACTTAGTACGGATGTCCATGGCAAAAACTTTCTTGTTTGTTTTGTTTTGGGTTGTTCCAGAGAGAGAAAGCTCTTTTGTTTTCATGTGTTTTGTGCACCAGTCCTACATGAAAGAGACCGGCTTTTTCGAATTTCACCCCCTTCCCCCAACACCGTTTAAGAGTTCCACCTGGCTTGCATACAACAGCCCATTGAAAAGTCCCTGGAAGATCTGGTGGGCAAACAGAAAGGGAAAAATTGGTTTCTAGATTACTTGACTTCTTGCTATATCCACAATACCATTTTTCCTGACAAACCAGATTGTTTTAAATGAACTTATCCATGACATATCTACCCCACAGCTCCATCAAGATAGCATTCAGCTGCCTACAAAATGTAGCAATAAATTACAATACAACTGCAATAAAATATAATTTTTTAAAAATTATGTATTTCATTTTATGAGTTGCCTTATGACTAGAACAGCCAACCTTGGGTCCCCAGAAGTTCTTGGACTACAACTCCCAAAAATTGTGGCCAGCACAGCTAGTGGTGAAGGCTTCTGGGAGTTTGAGTCCAATAACATCTGGTAATCCAAAGTTGGGAAACTCTGCACTAGAGCACATCTATTGAAGAGGAACTGGTAAGTCAACACTTGTATAAGTTTCATTGATCTCGCAGATCTAAACCAGTTAAGACTAGTAGTGAATTTTAGGCCCATAAAACCAAGTAAGCCAATCATGTCACTTAATCATAAACAAGCAAATAGAAGTAATAACCCTTATAAAAACAGAAGATAAAAATCAAAGCAGCACAAAGGATTATGTCATATCACACATTCTGAGAAAGGAAGAAAAAAGACCCTCATGCATAATACATCTCTATGATACTTTCTTTATTTGTCTTTTTCCCCTATATTGAACAGCCCAAACCATCATAACCTTTCCTAGCAGGCAAAATGTCTCAGGATCTTGGTATTCTGCTAGCCTCTTTTCTTTTTTTCCTGGCTTTTTTTTACTTCCTATATTGACAAAGCTTTGATGCTTTCTCCATCATCCGCCCACCCTCATGGACCACTGGTTATCTACATTTCTCTGTAAAACAGCAACATTGTGGTACCATAAAGACCAAGTAGTTTTATTTTGGTGAAACAATGTTAATTTGTTTTCGCTGCAACAGACTGACATTGTTATATATTTGTAACATGTATAGTTTGTGCCAAACAACTGCAAGAAGTGTGTGTTTGAGAGAGAGAGAGAGAGATTGTTACTGCTTATAGTTTCTCAAATGAAAAACAACCTGTGCAGACTGGCCAAATATGAACTCTACAGTACCTATATATTTTTCACAACACCGTATTTTTTTATATATTCAAACATGACAGAGCCCATTCAGGTTCAAAAATTAAATCTATCTGGATACTGAGAGGCCTGGTAATGAAGAGATACTGTTTGAGAGTTTTCTGAAAACAAGTTTATTTGTACCGTGTTTCCACAAAATTAAGACAGGGTCCTATAACTGTTTGAGAGTTTTCTGAAAACAAGTTTGTATTTGTACCGTGTTTCCCCAAAATTAAGACAGGGTCTTAAAATGCATTTTTGCTCCAAAAATGCATTAGGGCTTATTTTCAGGAGATGTTCTATTTTACAGTCATGTCACCTTCTGGTTGCTCCACAAGGGTGAAGTGAGGGGTTTCACTTAACTGGGGCTTATTTTTGGGGTAGGGCTTATTACGAGCATCCTGAAAAACCATACTAGGGCTTATTTTCAGCTTAGGTCTTCTTTTTGGGGAAAGAGGGTATGTTTCAGATCTTTTACCAGTAAGACTTACAGCTCCAACTTTGAGAAAGAATGTGAAACTACGTTTTCATGTGAGCACCCAGATTAGCTGGGACCTTTTAAAGAATCAACCAAGGAACTGGAGTTGTTTCCCAAGGAAATGCTGTCATAAAGAAACATGTAGGACTTTAAATCCTGATCCGAATCTAGAGCATGAGGTACACATACTTGAACAAGGCCTCTCAGCTTCCCGATGGATTTAGTTCTTTGACCTGAATTGATTTTGCAATGTTTGAATATTGAAATTGATATGGCGTTGTAAAAATATATATACTGTTCCCGATGGATTTAGTTCTTTGACCTGAAAGGACTTTGTAATGTTGGAATATTGAAATTGATATGGTGTATCAATATAGGTATATATATAGGTTACTTGGATGACAACTACAACAGAGGTAGAGTGGGTGTGGGCATGATTGTGGCTGTGTGTTGTGTTCGTTTTGTGTGTGTATATATATATATATATATATATAGTTTCTGTCAGACAACTACAACAGAGGTAGAGTGGGTGTGGGCATGATTGTGGCTGTGTGTTGTGTTCGTTTTGTGTGTGTATATATATATATATATATATATAGTTTCTGTCAGACAACTACAACAGAGGTAGAGTGGGTGTGGGCATGATTGTGGCTGTGTGTTGTGTTCGTTTTGTGTGTGTATATATATATATATATATATATAGTTTCTGTCAGACAACTACAACAGAGGTAGAGTGGGTGTGGGCATGATTGTGGCTGTGTGTTGTGTTCGTTTTGTGTGTGTATATATATATATATATATATATAGTTTCTGTCAGACAACTACAACAGAGGTAGAGTGGGTGTGGGCATGATTGTGGCTGTGTGTTGTGTTCGTTTTGTGTGTATATATATAGTTTCTGTCAGACAACTACAACAGAAGTAGCGTGGGTACGGTTGTGGCTGTGTGTGGTGTTCGTTTTGTGTATATATATATATATATATATATAGTTTCTGTCAGACAACTACAACAGAGGTAGTGTGGGTATGGTTGTGGCTGTATGTTGTGTTCGTTTTGTGTGTCACCCAACTGCTCGATCAGCTAAAGGACTTACAGCTCAGAGGCCTTCGAAGGCAGTCCCCCAAAAACAAATTCTGTTTTATTAAGCAATTGTGCAATGCCACGGGCCCTCCTAACATAGCGCAAGGCCTCAGCGTGTCTGAATCAGACCCCTAACAGATAATGAGGTAAGGAGAGGCGAAGGAGATGATTCATGGTCAGGACGGTTCAGCAGGGAGGCGGAACCCCTTCCCAGCCTCTCAGTCCCGCCTCCGCCTTAATTCGTCTCCCCCAAAACAAGAAACGCGCCCCCCCACACAACTCACCCGATCTTCTCCTCTTAAGGAACCCCCTCCAACGCCCAGCTTGAGAAAGCCGCCTTTCTCTTTCTCCTCAGGAGAAGGGACAGAATAGGAAGTGGCTCTTCTAAACCCGCTTCCGGAAAGCATCGTTCATGGCCTTCTAGGAAGAAACTCGCTCACCTTAACCCCTTCCTAGCCGCTTCGGGTGGGAAAGGTGCGGGAAAGGTGCGGAGGGAATGAAGAGGAAAAGGGCGGAGATAAGAGTCTACATTCCAGACGGGAGCCTACAAGGGACATACATGTCAAAAGGTCAAAAGTAGAGCGAGTGAGCTCGCTCAGTGGGCTAGACGTCACTGTTGGTTAGCTTGGTGGCTTTTCCAGCTCAAGATGTGCCCAAAGCACGTAAGAAACGCGAGTCGTGTCCGACTCTGCGTGGCCCCATGGACCAAAGCACGCCAGGCCCTCCTGTCTTCCACTGCCTCCTGGAGTTGGGTCAGATTCATGTTAGTTGCTTCAATGACACTGTCCATCCATCTCATCCTCTGTCGTCCCCTTCATTCCTCTTGCCTTCCCAACATCAAGGTTTTTTTCCAAGGAGTCTTTTCTTCTCATGAGATGGACAAAGTATTGGAGCCTCAGCTTCAGGATCTGTCCTTCCACGGTTCATTTCCTTCAAAATGGATAGGTTTGTTCTCCTTGCAGTTCAGGGACCTCTCAAGAGCCTCCTCCAGCACCACAATTCAAAGGCATCAATTCTTCGGCAGTCAGCTTTCTTTATGGTCCAGCTCTCACTTCCATACATCACGACAGGAAAGCACAATAGCCTCATTTTAGTGCTTTCAGCTTCTAGCCGCCCAGAGACCTCTGGCTGGGTAGTGTGGGCGGGTCCAGCTCTCACTTCCATACATCACGACAGGAAAGCACAATAGCCTCATTTTAGTGCTTTCAGCTTCTAGCCACCCAGAGACCTCTGGGTAGTGTGGGCGGCATATAAATTGAATAAATAAATAAATAAATAAATAAATAAATAAATAAATAAATAAATAAATAAATAAATAAATAAATAAATTTGGGATTGGTTTGGTCCAGAGCCTACTTATTTGTCTTTCTGGTGGTCCATGCATAAGACTGCTTTTCCTATGTTTATGTCAAACAGGTTGTTTCCTGGCTTTTCTGCCTCTCTTCCTCTGCCTATTTATAGCCTCCTGAAGTCTACCACATTCTTCCTTGTGTGGAAGCAACATTAAGAGAATTCATAAAAGGGAGAAACCTTAGAAATGTTCTGTGTGTGAGAAAAGCTTTATTGAAAGACACCATTTAAAGTACCACAAGATAATTCATATGCACCCTAAGAAAATCATCCAAGAGAAGGAACATGTCAGTCACAAAGTATATTTGGAAGATTATCAGAGAATCCATGCAGGACATGAATCCTTCAAGTGCCCAGAGTGTGGGAGAAAGGCCTCTCAGACAGAAATGTATCTTACAAATAAGTTTTCAGTTTCAAAACTGGCTCGTCACTGTCATGATGGCGCTGCTCTGCAAGTATCAAAGGGCCATAGGAAAACTGCAGGATGGAGGGGGGGCACTTGGTCTCCAGATGTTTTGATCTATATAGTTTCCATCACCTCCAGCCATCATGGCCCATCGCAGGGGAGAGATGAAAACAAAGACCAAAATATCTGAAGGACCAGAGGTCCCCCACCCACATGAACAGGTTCTTCAGACCCCAGCTATACATAAGTGCACATTTTCATATTTTTGGACTGCAGTTCCCAGAATTCTTGAAGATTTCCCCAGGCAGGATTCTGTGCGTTTTAGCTCACAAACACAAGACATTTTACATTTTGCTCACCTGAACCAGGTCTACTTGGCCTTCTCTGGCCCTTGATTCCTGTTAATGCATGTAGCCATCACCCCTGGTATGAATATTCAGCAGTGTATTTGCATGTACCAATGAGAGCTGTTCGGAGGCGGAGCCAGGGAAGCTAGAAAGGAGGGGTGAGTCAGAGTCAAGTCCCTTCAGTCAGAGAGACAGAGAAGAAAAAAAGAGTTTAGGGGATTTGAGGCAGAGAAAGTGTTTAAGGAGTGATTAGTCAGAGTGTGACCTGTATTAATTAAGACAGAAGAGGCTAACCTCAGTGTTTCATAGGAAATAGTGGTGCACCGCATGACGACGATAATCTGTCCCACTGAAATAGCTGTTTAGCGAAATCGTCAACATGCAAAAACCCTTTTTCCACTGGAATGCATTGAAACCCGATTTAATGCGTTCGAATGGGGAAAATACCTCATCGTCCAGCGAAGATCACCCATAGGGAAGCCATTTTGTGAGCACCGATCAGCTGTAAAAATGGCTGCCCTGCGAAGCATGGGTCCGGAAAACACAGGGCAGCCATTTCGCGAAGCCGACAATCAGCGGAAAAAATTGTTGTCTTGTGAACAAACGGTTTGTGAAGCACAGACCTAATCAACGTCCAGCGAAAATCCCCCACTGGAATGACTGTCTCTGAATTGCTATAGCGATCGCAAAAAGTCATTGCGATGCAGATTCGTTGTTTAGCGGGGTTGTCGTCTTGTGAGGTACCATTGTATAAGTTGATAAAAAGAGATCAACTGGTGGCAGTTCTTAAAGGGCATGTTGGGATACTCATGTGAGCTCTGTGTTTGGTGAAACAAGCAGGGGCCACGGGATAAATGTCACAATGCAACAAATAAAAATGCCATGGTGCTTCCTGGGAGTTGTAGTCTTGTGGCTCATTAGTTCTATAGAGCAGCGGTCCCCAACCTTTTTTGGGGTTACAGACCAGCTGGAGGGAGTGAGCTCCATGTGCGGGGGGTGCTGGGGGAACCCCCGCACTCGCGCGATAAGCGTATCACGCTCGCACAGTGGGTATTAATTGGTCAGATTAGTTTCCCAGCTGAAATGGAGTGCCCAAGCCTAGAAAAGCCTTCAAGCCTACAAAAGTTCCTTTTTTTGGAATACAATTTTCAGATTCCACCCAAGCTCCTTTTCCAAGCTCTACCTTCCTTTCCATGAGCCTGTTCCCCATCTGACGTCTCGTCTTCCACAAATCCTCGCTTCTGATGGGTTTCCCGTGTTTGTTTTAGGAAAGCCAGAGACAATCTGCGGTTTGCCAGTTAGCCCATAATGGCCAAATTAGTTTTCTGGAATCTAGACCTCAGAAGGGAAATCTGAAATGTCATGCCTGAACCTTGGACAGAATATTTAAGTTTTTTCCCCATGTATAGAACAATCCTGAGAGAAATCTGTTTGTGGGAATAACTGTCCTTGAAAAGGGAAACTTTAGCCAAGATGAGGGTACTCCGAGTCTGAGAATTCTCGGCGAATGCCCTGGGAAGAATTCTGGGAGTACCAACATGAAAAGACACACCTGTAGACACACAACTTTTGCTCATCAGGAACCGGCCCTAATTTCTGAGGCTGCATAGCCTTCTCTGACCTTGTTCCCTGTTGTAAATGTCCAAATAAGGAAGCTGCCGCATTGCTTCCTGGGAGTCATAGTTCTACAGGAGTTGCCCTCTATAGCAGAGGTCATCAACCCCCGGTCCGTGGCCCGGTGACAGTCCTTGGGCTTGCCAGAACCGGGCCACGGATACAGATCTCCAATCCCCAGCATGCATGCGTGTGTGTGTGTGCGTGTGTGTGCGTGTGTCGTGCACGCAGTGGTTTAGGCATGACATTTCAGATTTTCCTTCTGAGGTCCAGGTTCCAGAAAGCTAGTTTGGCCCTCTGGCTTTCCTAAAACAAAAATAGGAAACCCATCAGAAGCGAGAATTTGTGGAAATCGAGACATCCGATGGGGAACAGGCACATGGAAAGGAACGCAGAGCTTGGAAAAGGAGCTTGGGTGGAATCTGGAAATTGTATTCCAAAAATTTTATTTATTATTGTTTATTATTTATTTAATTTATACCCCGCCTATCTGGGCTACCAGACCACTCTAGACTACCAGACCACTCTAGTAACTTTTCTAGGCTCCCGCCTATCTGGGCTACCAGACCACTCTAGTAACTTTTGTAGGCTCAAAGGCTTTTCTAGGCTTGGGCACTCCATTTCAGCTGGGAAACTAATCTGACCAATTAACAGCCAGCCAGAAATAAATCCTGTGTCTCTCTCTGGTAAACATTAGCTTTATGATACACTTATCTGCCTAATTCACACATTATGTTTTTTAGGATGAACACTCAAAAATATCTAACACTAATAAAAGAGCACAGTAACCCTACAATGTAGGGGTTTTTTATGCCCATTAAAATGTGATTCACCATTCAAGGGTTGTTTCGCCCACAAACACACACATACTTCCTGTTTCTAACTGCTTCCCAAATATTTACACCAAGGTTGGGGTGGCCTTGGGCCACCAGATACCTTGGACTCCCACTCCCATCAGCCTTGCTGAGCCTGGCCAATGATTTGGGGTGGTGAAGTCCTCAGCCCAAACCCTCCGGAGGGCTAAAAGCTCAGCATGAAAAAGTAACACCTGGGACTGCCAATTTGAATCCCCAGTCACTGACCATACTAGCTGGGAGACGCTGGCTATGGTAGCCCCCCAAAAAGTAACTTTTAAAGGAGCCAACAGAACAGGCAAACCACGTGGATTGCAAGCAGAGCATCCTGAGAGGCAAACAGCAGGGAGAAGAAAGAGCCAAAATCTCTCTGAAAGAGCAGGAATTTTTCTTTTTTGGGTTTTCATAGAATCACAGAAGTGTCGAGCTGGAAGGGCTACCTAAAGACCATCACGTCCAGTCCCAGTGGAAGCAGGAAACCCACAGCTGAAGCATCCCTGAGAAGTAGCCGTCCGACCACTGCTTAAAATCTCCAGTGCAAGGCATGCCGCCAGCCTCTGAGCCGAGCCATCCCACTATCAAAAACCTCTTGCTGTCTCTAAACATTCTTCCTAATGTTTAGGCAAAATCTCCTTGCTTGTAATCTGAACCCAACACTTCGGGGTTTACCCCCTTTGGCGCTCTGCGGTAGCTCTGCTAGCTGAGAAAGTAGATCAGATGGGTATAAATGAGGTGTTCAAAAGGAACGTCCTCTCCTTTAGGTTCAAAATGGTATCATCCAGGCTGCCACTTTGAGACACTGCTGCTACTCCTTTGCTGGGGGTATTTCCCCAAAGGTTGGATGGCCATTTCTTTGCGCTACTACAAGACGGCTATAGTAAGCAGAAGACTGGTCTAGCCTGGCCTCTATCCAGGACTGGTTAGGCTTCAGCTAGAGTACAGGTCTGGACACCACACTTTAAGAAGAATGCCACCAACCGGAGCAGATTCAGAGGGAGGGCAACAAGGATGATCAGGGGGCTGGAAACTAAGTCCTAAGAGGAAAGACTGAAAGACCTGGGCATGTTTAGCCTTGAGAAAAGAAAACAGAGTGGAGATAGGATAGCGTCATCCAGAGGAGGGGCAAGATCTGTTCTCGATCATCCCAGAGTGCAGGACACACAACAATGGGCTCAAGTTACAGGAAGCCAGATTTGGGTTGAATATCAGGAAAAACTTCCTAACCGTTAGAGCAGTACGACGACAGTGGAACCAGTTACCTCGGGAGTTAGTGAGTGCTCCAACACTGGAGGCATTCAAGAGAAAATTGGACAACCATCTGTCAGATCTGATTCAATTTGCATTCCTGCATTGAGCAGGGAATTGGAACCCATGGCCTTATGTGCCCCTTCCAACTCCATTATTCTATGATTCTATTCTAAGATTCCCTGACCCCCCTGCTTTACACAACAGTGAACTGCAAACACACACACACACACACACACACACACACACAGGGCAAAGCAGCGACCACTTCACAACCAGTCTGCACACTGGAACGCTTTCTCTCGGGCGTGCAGCTTCTGGTGAGTCATGAGGATGTCCCTCCTGCCGAAGCTTTTCCCACAGATCAAGCACTGGAAAGGCTTCTCTCCGGTGTGGGCCCTCTCATGGATGACCAGGCATGTCCGCTGGCTGAAACTCTTGCCGCATTCGGAGCACTTGTAGGGCTTCTCCCCCGTGTGCGTCCGCCGATGGGTCACCAGGAACTGCTTCCTGCTGAAGCTCCGCCCACAGTCCGGGCAGAGGTAGGGTTTCTCCCCCGTGTGGGTCCTTTCGTGCTTGATGAGGTCCGATTTGGAAATGAAGCCTTTGCCACAGTGGGAACAGATGTAGGGTTTCTCCCCGGTGTGGATCCTTTCGTGCTTAATTATGTACGATTTGCGGCTGAAGCTTTTCCCGCAGTACGAACAGGAGTAGGGTCTTTCCCCCGTGTGGGATCTTTGATGTTCGATCAGTTCTGACCGCCACACAAAACCCTTCCCGCACTCAGGGCATTTTTTTAACCGTTCGCCCTGGATCCTTGGCTGGACGACCCCGCCTTTGACTTGTGGGTAAATTGTCGGACTGCAGAATATTTTCTCCCTGCCTTTCTCTGGGTAGCTTCCTGGATAGCTGTCCGAACCTTCCCCCAGGTCAGGATTGCAGGAGACACTCCAGCTGGCTCGTTCTGACAATGTCCCATGTGATTCTGCTTCCCCAGAATTGTCAGAGTCTCCTCGGTACAGTCGCTCATCACCTGGTAGAAAGCAGAAAATCAAAAGGGAGCACCTCTTGGCGTTTCCACGATAAACCACAAACAACGGGGAAGTTAGATGAGGCTTCCCAAAGTGAATTTGTGTGCTTGTTATTTTAGAACAGCCATTCAGTCATCTCCCCAAACCAATATATTTCAGGTCATGGCTGAAATTCATTAATAAATCACAACTGGAGTAGGCCCACTGAATCGATGAGCATTACAAAGGTATGGACTCATCGTGGAGTAGGCCCACTGAATCAATGAAAATTACAAAGGTATGGACTCATCGAATCCTCACTGGTTCAATGGGCTTACTCTAGTTGCAACTTTATGACTGGATTTCAACCAAAGCTTCCTGTTTGTTTTTCCAGCTATGCTTTCTTCTTACTAATGCCTCTTCTGTTTTCCTTTAGTTGCCATTTATACAATGAAGTACATGACAGGTTTGACAAGCTTCCTGTTTGTTTTTCCAGCTATGCTGTCTTCTTAGTAATGCCTCTTCTGTTTGCCTTTAGTTGCCATTCTTTATTAATATATACTACTCCAAAGTAGGATTTTACAGTCCCTCCACATGAAACAGAAGTAACCAGAAGGCTATTTGCTTTAAAACAAAACCCCAACCCCCTCTTATTTCTTTAATTAGATTTTCTGTTCAAATTAGGTCTGTGGCATTTGTGGCTAACCCTGGGATAAAGCAAGCAGACCCAGCACACACACTCTGTGGTATAGTAGTCATTGTGGTGAAAGGTGCTGTATCGTCGTGGAAGAATCTTGGAGAAGAACTCTGACTGCTGGACTGAATTATATGGATTCTGACTGCTGAACTGATTTGTAAGGACTCTGATCTGATTTATGCCTATTGGAATTGCCATGTTTGAACACTGGCCTGAAACAAAGACAAAGCTGTATGTGTATGTATATATCCTGCAACGTATTTGATTCAATACAATTATTTCTCCTATCAATACTGTTTCCTTGCCTGGTAACTTCATAAATCTGGGAAACTGTACTTGTTAGTGTCACTTGGCACACCTGGTATACTGCAACTCTGTCAGTACAGACCTGGCTAACTAGTGATTCTCTCTCAACTAGTGAGGTACTACTCCAAAATAGGATTTTACAATCCCTCCACATGAAACAGAAGTAACCAGAAGGCTATTTGCTTTAAAACAAAACCCCAACCCCCTCTTATTTCTTTAATTAGATTTTCTGTTCAAATTAGTTCCGTGGGGGATAAGCATTTGCACTCTCTCTCTCTCTCTCTCATTTCTAGAGGCCAGAAAATCTTCCACAAGAGGTTGGGCCTTCTCCTCACCATCTCTTTGAAATCATCTCCTGATGGGAGTTCCATCTGGTCCTTTCCTTCCTAGTTTTAAGAGGCTGCTGAAGATGCTTCTCTTTCAAGGAGCCTTTGCTGGCAGACCCTTTTAAAGGGTTCTGTCAATTTTTCAGACATTTCATTCCTTTGGTTTGTGTTTGTTTGATGTACAATGACCAGAATAGTGCTGTGCACTAATGGGGTTGGAGAGGGAGAGGGACGGAGAGAGAGACAGACAGATTCCCACATACAACCATCCTCCATTTGTTTCTTTCCATAGTTTCATCACCAGCCAATAATGACTGGATACTCTCCATGTTCCTCTCCCATTTTAAAACTCCAGGAGAATCAAGTCACAGAAAAATAAGCAGTAAGGGTCTTTACTGCCGCCTATAGAGCCTCCGGAAAGCTATAGAGGTACTTTATCAATCATAACATTTCCAAAGAGAGGAGCCATCTCCAAACATCCCACCATCCCACCCTTATATTATGGGAAGCATCAGATGCACCCACCTGCAACCTGCATACATCCCCAGTCCACAAACTTCAAAAGTTACCCAAAGGTTTTACTTGAGTCCATTAAAAATTTGCTCTCAGAATTTCAAGGTGCCCGGAAGATCTTTACCCAGCGCAGTGGCGTATCTGTCATCCTCTTCTTCTTCTTCTTCCTCCTGCTTGATCTCTCCTAAGATGACTCTTTGCCAGGAATCTGATGAACCTTCTTCAGCCTCTGGGAAATGAGTGGCTGCTTCTTTGAATGGCCCCACCACCTGAGAGGATAGAGCGGGCAGCTTAAAGGAGGTGGCCGAACGCAGAGCATCCATAGCAGCACTCTGGGGAAACGATGGTCCTTCCCAAGACGGATCCTCCACCTTCCCTTGGGTAAAAGTCCCTTCTCTTTACTCAAGAAGCATAAAATATCAACAAGATATCAACAAAATTCCCTCTCCATCCCTCCTCAGCCATCTGGGGCAGATGGGAATTGGAGTCCAACACCCATTCTAAGGGCCAAAGATTCTCAGTCCCCAGGGAATTACTTGAGTCCATTAAAAATTTGCTCTCAGAATTTCAAGGTGCCCGGAAGATCTTTACCCAGCGCAGTGGCGTCTCTGTCATCCTCTTCTTCTTCTTCCTCCTCCTGCTTGATCTCTCCTAAGATGACTCTTTGCCAGGAATCTGATGAACCTTCTTCAGCCTCTGGGAAATGAGTGGCTGCTTCTTTGAATGGCCCCACCACCTGAGAGGGTAGAGCAGGCGGCTTAAAGGAGGTGGCTGAAGGCAGAGCATCCATAGCAGCACTTTGGGGAACCCGTGGTCCTCCCAAGACGGATCCTCCACCTTCCCTTGGGTAAAAAGTCCCTTCTCTTTACTCAAGAAGCATAAAATATCAACAAGATATCAACAAAATTCCCTCTCCATCCCTCCTCAGCCAGCTGGGGCAGATGGGAATTGGAGTCCAACACCCATTCTAAGGGCCAAAGATTCTCAGTCCCCAGGGAAGAAGAGGAAGATAATATATAAACTCTTACATAGAAAACATTTATATGCTGCCTTCTGGCTTGAGGGGGGGAAAATGAGCACTTGAACATATTTGCCATGATAAAATACAAACATGATTACAAAAGTGTATGCAAAGTCTGTATTGAACAAGGCAACCATCTTGTAACTAGCTAAAATTAATGCACATTTAGAGACTGGCATAATAAGAAAGAGAGGGAGGGGGGAGAAGTAAGTTCCAAGAGAGACAGATTTTCAGAAAGAAAGAAAAATACAGTGGTGCCTGTAGATATCATTATCGGAATTTAAGATTTCTCAAGACAAAACATTTGCATTGATTTTTCATTTATGACACTTTTATTCTGGGTTTGTTTCAATTCCAACTTTTTTTTAATTGAAAGAGAATCAAGGAAAATTGGGGAGGCAGCTGGGTTTCTCAAAAAAAAAAAAAAAAAGAGAGAGCCTGATGTCAAAAAATTTGAGGATTGTTACTTTAAAACTAGTGGTTTTTCAGCGATTTTGAGCTTGCCCCCCTCCCCTGACTTTAAGGTTTTTGTCTGCTTTCTGGGAAGCTGCACATGACAGTCAGAACTTTTCCCCCTCTGGAGCAGAACACAAACATGCATCTCATAAACATCGCTAAATGGAGCACAAAATCGCTAAAAAATACCATCACTAAGCAAATACATTGTTAAACGAGGCAATCACTAAGCGAGGCACCACTGTACCTTTATTCATTTCTGTGATAGATATCATTATCGGAATTTAAGATTTCTCAAGACAAAACATTTGCATTGATTTTTCATTTATGACACTTTTATTCTGTGTTTGTTTCAATTCCAACCTTTTTTTAATTGAAAGAGAATCAAGGAAAATTGGGGAGGCAGCTGGGTTTCTCCAAAAAAAAAAAAAAAGAAGAAAAAAGAGAGAGCCTGATGTCAAAAAGTTTGAGGATTGTTACTTTAAAGCTAGTGTTTTTTCAGTGGTTTTGAGTTTTCCCCCTCCCGACTTTAAGGTTTTTTCTGCTTTCTGGGAAGCTGCACATGACAGTCAGAACTTTTCCCCCTCTGGAGCAGAACACAAGCATGCATCTCATCAAGTACAGTGGTACCTCGATTTACGAACTTAACCCGTATCGGAACACCCATATATGTGTGCACATACTTGTAAAACACATGCTTATAATTAGAAAAAGGGAAGAAAGAAAGAAAAAAAACCCAAAACAAACACACAAGTTCTTTGTTTATTAAAAAAAAAGAAAATAAAAAGGAAGAGAAATTAAACAAACAAGCAAACAAACAAACAAACAAAAAAAAACAGAGTTTTCCCCAAAATTTCCCCCCTTACCAAAAAGAAAAAAGAAAAAAAAAAAAAAAGAAGAAAAAAGAGAGAGCCTGATGTCAAAAAGTTTGAGGATTGTTACTTTAAAGCTAGTGTTTTTTCAGTGGTTTTGAGTTTTCCCCCTCCCGACTTTAAGGTTTTTGGCCATTTTCGCTGCCTGGATAGCGAGGAATCCGTCCTTAAGCGCAGTGGGGAGCCATTTTAAGCACCCGGTGGCCATTTTGAAAACCCGACGAGCAGCTGTTTTTGATCGTCATAAAGTGGAAATCGGTTCACTAAGCAGGGAACCGATCGTCGCTAAGCGAAATTCCCCCATTTAGACCATCGTTTTGCGATCGCAAAAAGATAATCGTAAAGCAGATTCATCGTAATGTGGGGCAATCGTAAAGCTGGGCACAACTGTATCAAGATGCTGTTCGCAAGTAGAGCCATTAGTTCCCATAGGAACTAATGCAAAGCCGGTTAATCCATCCTCTACCACTAGGGGGAGAAATTTTTTTTATTTTTTTCTTCTTTTGACCTAAGATGAACTTAGGTCCAAAAAAAAAAAGAGCAGGAAAGGTTTTTTATCATTCGCAAGTCAAAGCAACATTTTGCGAACGGAGCCATCCGTAATTCAACATGTTCATTAGTGGAGACATTCGTAAGTCGAGGTACCACTGTAGAGAGCTTTGGAAAGTTGCCTTTTTGGACTCCCCGTGGTAGCCCAATCCTGTAACTTTCTCAAGCTATGAACATACGCTCAGAAGCAACAGCACAAAGTCTCCTCACCCGCTCTTCCTGCCTCTCGTTCTCCTGGTGCCTCTGCAGGAAATCTTCGGCCAGGGCCACCGCCTGGGAGCAATTTTCAGGCTCCACCTCCCTGACCCAGCTCTGGATCTCGGGTGGCAGAACCGCCAGGAACTGCTCCAGCACCACCAGCTCCAGGATCTGGTCCTTCGTCCGCTGCTCCGGCTTCAGCCAGAGGTTGCACAGTTCCCAGAGGTGGTTGCAAACTTCACGGGGTCCCTCCGCCTCCTGGTAGCTGAACTGCCGGAAGTGCTGGCGTTGCGTTTCTGAGTTGACGGCCGCCTCCTCCTCCTCTCTGTCCAAGACCTCCTCTTTCACTTTCAAACAGTGGACTTTGTCACTGGCCCAGAGGCTGCTCTCTGACATTGGGTTCTCCTTACAGAGGTCCGGCAAAAGGCGGGCCATTCTTTCCCCTTGAGGATGCCGGCTGGACTGCCGAAGACAAAAGGGATGACAATTCCACAAGTGAAATATTTACAGTATTTATGTTATTTATATGCAGCCTTTATTTTATTCACCTGATTGTTTTATTTACCCTGTTTGTTATTTAAATAAACCTTACTCTTGTTATTGTTTAAAAATCCATCCCTGGTCTGTGTGACTTCTTATAGGGAATGGTTGGTGGCAGCTTAGTAACTGTGTGACATATCCCAGTAGGTCTGGGTTTGTCACATTGATTGGTGTCCAGCGTGTGGGATACGACTGGTCCAGTTGTCCAGCGGTCCAGCAAACTTACAGAGGTCCGGCAAAAGGCGGGCCATTCTTTTCCCTTGAGGATGCCGGCTGATCTGCCGAAGACAAAAGGGATGACCCACAAGTGAAATATTTACAGTATTTATATTATTTATATGCGGCCTTTCTCTCCATAGGGGACCTAAGGCAGTGGTTATACTGCAATACTGCAGCCAAGACTCTGCTCACAGCACAAGTTCAATCCCAGGTAGCCATTTTGAGGTTCACTCCCCCCTCCCATAAAGGGAGGGCCCAGTTTGCTGCCGCGGGGGGGGGGGGCAATGTGTAGCCTACATAATTAAATTGTAAACCATCCAGAGAGTGCTTTAAGTGCAATATATATAAGCGGCACACTTTCCTTTTGCTCTACAACAGATAAAGCTATAAAACAAAAACAGTTTAAAAATACTACATATCATATTTAAAAACAATTAAAATAATATTAGGATGAAAAATGAAGTTTAAATACATTTTTTTTCAAAGTTTAAAAATCTGTAAATCAAAAGCCAGCATCCCCGAGACAACTGAACAGGAGTCAGCAATGTGAAAGCTAAACAGCATTAGGAGGCATCAAAAGAAGTACAGGCGTGGATTCAGCTGGTGAAAACTAGAGGAGACCCACTGAATCAACAGCATGTCCTTAAGTGCTGATTCACCATGCAGCAACTGGTTCAGTACAGCTAACAACTGGATTTAAGCCCTCTTGTCTTATGTAAGAGAAGCAATGGTACTGTCCTACTCAGTACTGATTCACCATGCAGCAACTGGTTCAATACAGCTAACAACTGGATTTAGGCCCCGAAGCAATGGTACCGTCCTACTCAGATCTCAACTAGAGTATGATGTCCAGTAGGCAGCAACTGAGATGGTCAAATCTCTTGAAATTAAAACTTATGATACAAAATGATATAGTTTAACTGTAAAAATTGTATCTGTATTTTTTTTTCCTGTCTCGTAAGGAGCTGTCACCATGGACTTCATTAATCATCTTAGAACTGCAAAGTTGGAAGGGGCCTTAGGGATGATCAAATCCACACTCTGTCAAAGAGGCTCCGCAGCCAGAGACCTAAACAGCATGAAGTCCAATTCATTCCAGGGGATTCACTTTACTGGAGATTAGAATTGGGTTTGGTTTACATTCCCACTCACCACCACGTGTACTATAAATGCACCTGAAATTTTGGACATTTACACGATGAAATTCTGGATACCAACCCACAAAACGTCCTGATCCAACAAATGTATTCTGCTTTAGAGTGACGTAAAGTCTTTTGTTGGCAGAAATAATAAGCACAGCAATCCCACCGGTTTAGACAAAGTAGCAGCTGCTTATTTTTAAGATTCCCAAATCTCACGCAAAGAAACCAAAAAAATATTCTTTTTTTTTTTTGCTGTTCTCAGCATTTGCATCGCCTACCTACATACACACATAGAGGTTTGCGAGCATTCCAGGTTTTCCTACCTCTTCTGGCAGGCAGAAATTCAACCAAGAGAGCTTCTGCCAACCTTGCATCATTCCCGCGCAAGGGAAGAGCTTCACCAGTTGGATTTCTGCCTGCCTCGCAGTCCATAGAGGCACTGCTTCCCCCACAGCCCACAGCCCCCCTTTTCCCACGTACCTGCTTCTTTCCCAGGCAGGAAAACTCTTGACCGGCGATCCCTGCGCGTGGGAAAATTCAAAGGCCACTTTCCCACGGGAAGCGGAACAGGAAGGAACTTTCTTTAAAAAAATACTTTTTTTCCTAGAGCGCCCTTTACTGGCCAACATGGTCTTCCTTTCTGGTTCCTCTCTAGGAGTTTTAACGCTGTGGCTTTAACCCTTTGGAGGAATAACCGACCAGAAACCATGAGGGGAACCAACCGACCACAAAAATGATTCAATCAAGGCTATCGCATTTCGGGCACCCTCGCCAGAAGACATCGCTTTCCTAAAAAGATGGGAATTTTAGGAAAAGATAAAGGCAGTCGGAAAAGAGGAAGACCAAGCATGAGATTGACTGACTTGATAAAGGAAGCCACTGCCATCGTTTTGCAAGAGCTGAGCAGGACTGTTAATGATGGGCTTTTTGAAAGACGCTAAAGCAATTTGACAGATTGACTGACTTGATAAAGGAAGCCACTGCTATCGTTTTGCAAGAGCTGAGCAGGATTATTAATGATGGGCTTTTTGAAAGACGCTAATCATGCACAAAATCACCATAAGTGGGAAAGCAATTTGACATCACATCACAACCTGGCTATTAATCTGTTACAGAATTTATCAAATGGCTTCTGACTTACAGCAACGCTACAAATTAATTACTTTTAAAAGGCCATTTCCTTAGCAGCCCTTCTCAGATTTTGCAAACTCAAAGCAGTGGCTTCCTTTATTGAGTTGCTCAGTCTCATATTAATTTTCCTCTTTTCCTGCTGCCTTCCAAGTTTTCCCAGAACTGTTGCTTTTCCCAGAAAATCTTGTCTTGTCAAGGGCTCACTAACATTTATAGGAATCTCAGTGAAGACTATATATATATTAAAAAGTCTTAACATTTGCCACCCAGAGCTAACCTGTTCGTGCTTTGCAGGGAGATTGTGAAACTAACTTTCTGGCACTGTGATGCTTCTGTTTTGTCTTTGATGACTATATTTTAATATTTTAATATTGTAATATTTTAATATTGTATATGTGGAGCACATGGTATTATCGGAAGGAAGGCCTGGATGTGAAGCCAGAAGTTGGGTGTTTGATTCTTCAGTCTCCCTCCAGAGAGATCAGCCAGCCTGTGCAGCCTTGGGCAACCGGTCCAGCCCAGAGCACCCCAAGAACAAGGGAATAGCAAACCACTTCTCAGGATTCTATAGCTAGAAAACCCTGGAAAGGGTGGCCATAAATCAGGATTGCCTTGACAGTACATAATTATGTACGGTCACCATATGTACGGTCACCATAGGTCTTTGAGAGTACATAAAGATATATACATACTGTAATTCAAAAGTGGGAGAAGGAGAAGAGGGCTAGGGTCCAGATATTGCTTTAAGAGCCATTTAAAAACTTGGCTCTTCAGGCAGGCTTTCCCTCCTGTCAATTCTTGAATTCTACGTATCTTTCTGTTTTTTATCCCCCATCTTGATCACACTATATTATTGTTCAAATGTTTTTCTGATTATGATTTTAAAAAGACTGGCATCTTACAGTATCTTACAGTTGTGAGCCGCCCAGAGTAGACTATGTCTAGATGGGCAGCATATATATAAATAAATAAATAAATAAATAAATGAATGAATGAATGAATGAATGAATGAATGAATGAATGAATGAATGAATGAATGAATGAACGAACGAACTGTTTTGGATTGAGATTTGAAGTTTAGATTTAGAGTTTCGGGAGATCCTGATTCTCGTCCCCTTGGAGAGATTAAACTCAATAGGTACTCTAGGCGATCATTACAATATGATATAAACCCTGTGCACAACATTTGCATGGACTTAAATATTGGTCATCTGTACTAAGCCGAACTTCCTCTTTAGAATCAAAAAATGACTAAAAGGCGTCTATCCTTCATTGGGCACATCATGAGAAGGCAAGGCTCACAGGAAAACACAGCTATGTTCCGGAAAGGCAGGAGGAAAAGAGGAAGAGCAAGCAGGAGATGGAGTGACTCAATAAAGGAAGCCATAGATTTTGAGTTTGCAAGACTTGAGCAATGTGGCTACAAAGGGGGCCTTTTGAAGATCATGCATTTCTAGGGCTATGTCGGAAGTGATATGACGGCACAACAAAATGTTGGCTGGATAGCTCAGTGGTTTAGGTACCTAGCTGTGGAGCAAGAGGACAGGAGTTCGATTCCACCACTGTGCCTCTGTGGAGAAGAGCCAGCCTGTGTGCCCTGGGCAAGCTGCACAGTCCCAGGGTGCCCTCAGAAGAAGGGAATGAGTATTCACTACTCTTGAGTAGTCTCTACCTGGAAAACCCTGAAAAGGGTTGCATTGTCAGAATTGACTTGGCAGCACATGATGATGATTATTATTAACAACAAAAAAGCCCAGTGGGGCTTGCTTCCGAATAAGGATGATGATGATGATGATGATGAAGAACAAAAAAGCCCAGTGGGGCTTGCTTTCGAATAAGAGAAACCCTTCTGCCTTTCTCTGATTTTAGGTATATATACTTGGGTCAAAATGAATGCCCAATAAAACTAGGTTTCCTGAAAGATATAAATCCCCTTTAAAAAACCCAGTTGAAACACACATTAAAACTCCTGTAAAATGGAAATGCTCTTGGTTCCATAAGAATAGAATATTAGACTCAGCAAGGAGCAGGTGTCATTGGGCAAAAGAATGTGCAAGCTTCCACCTACAGGAATCTTCTACCTTCCATCAGGGATGGCTGAGCAGCTATCTCTGCTGAAATACATCCAGCAATATGCAGCTTAAAACTGTGCTACTGGAGCAGAATAGAGTGGAACTCCTACTGCTTCTTGCTGGGAAAGACAATAGTGCTAGGAAAATGTTGATGGCAGCAGGAGAAGAGGAAGACCAAATGTGAAATGGATTGACTCCATGAGGAAACCAAAGACTGAAGCTTACAAGAGCTAAGGTAAAAGTAAAGGGTAAAGGTTCCGCTTGACATTTAGTCCAGTTGTGTCTGACTCTAGGGCGCGGTGCTCATCCCCATTTCCAAGCCATAGAGCCAGCGTTTTGTCCGAAGACAGTTTCTGTGATCACAGGGCCTGCGCGACCAGACACGGAACACCATTCCCTTCCCGCCATGGTGGTACCTATTTATCTAATCGCCTTTTCCATGCTTTCGAACTGCTAGGTTGGCAGGAGCCGAGACAAGTGATGGGAGCTCCCTCCGTCACATGGATTCGATCTTACGATGGCTGGTCTTCCGACCTTGCAGCACAGAGGCTTCTGCAGTTTAACCCGCGGTGCCACCACGTCCCTTATGAGAGCTAAGCAGGGGTGTTAACGAGAGGACATTTTGGAGGTCACTTATTCATTGGTCGGAGGCAACCTGACGGCGTTTCACAGCGACATCTGTTACTTCTCTTGCTTGTCTTGATGCAGCCTAGAACCCACAGCCAGGACATTTTGGAGGTCACTCATTCATTGGTCGGAGGCAACTTGATGGCATGTCACAGCGACATCTGTTACTCCTCTTGCTTGTAGCCTAGAACCCACAGCTCAAGTTAGGGGAAAAAACAGTTGAAACACACAGTGCTGTGGCGGGTATGGGAGCAGTATATTAAATTGAAATGAATGAGAGAGAGAGAGAGAGATTTTGTGACTAAAAGTCCCAGAACTTCTCTCCCCAGAGACCATGCTGTTGAGTTCTTCTGAAAATCATAGTCTGAAAGAGTGATGCTTCCTGTTCTCAGAGTGGGCAAGCTGAGGTTCTCCAGATGTGGTTGGACTCCAACTCCCATCATCCCTAGCCACTGGCAATACAGGTGAGGGCTGATGGGAACAGCAGTCTAATGACCTCTGGGCACCACACATGGGAACATGATTCATCCAGTCCTTGGCCCTCTTACCTATTCACACTGGACTGGGGTGAAATGTAGGTCTATACGGCTAGGCTGGAGTGAGCTCAATAGGGTCACTAGGAGGTCCGGTAGGCCATTCGGTGCAATACTTGCATCCAAATGGCATACAGACCTCAAGTGAACTTACTTGGTCTGCTTTTTAAGTGTATTAGGTATGTGTACGACACGTTAGGTAGGTGACCACAGCCTAATATAGGTCTTAATACAGTGGTGCCTCGCATAACGAGCGCACCGTTTAACGACGAATCCGCATAGCGATCTATTTTTTTAGATTGCTAATGCAATTGCATTGCAATGTTTTAATGGGTAAAATATCGCATTGCGATGATCGGTAAGCATTTCGCTCATAGCGACGATTAATCCGGAACGGATTAACGTCGCTATGCGGGGCACCACTGTACACCTTTTCCCCTTGTCTTAAAGAGCTGGTCAAGAGACTGCCTGCAGACACAGCAGCGGATTCAGCTGCTGCCAGTTTCTCAGCTGACCCTTTAAGACAATATATTTTAATTTTTTTATAAGTCTTGCAGCCCATTTTTGCTGCCTGAATGGAGTCCATGGGATATGAATCAAATCCATCCTGGAGCCATGGCGGGTCAATTGGCCTTCAAACTGTTGCAATTCCATAGTGTAGATACCCAAGCATCCGACCCATCAGTTAGTTAGTACTTTGGGAATATTCTGTATGTATAATTACAGCATGTTAGTGACAAATAGATGCAGTAGCTCTTCCATGCCCTTATGTTTTACTGCCTTTATTTTTGTTTTCTGCCTTCCAAATAATTCTGAGAGTGAGGTTACTGCTCTTCCTATTTCTCGGGTGGAGAATTGTTAAGACTGATGGAAACAGATTCTCCCCAAGTCACAGAATTTGCCCGTGGTACTAAGGTTATCTCTCCAAAGTGCAATCTCTTATTTGCCATCAAGACAGAATGATCATGTTTCCCAACTTCTAAACCCTTCAAAAGTTTCTCCCCTTTATGGATGCGTTCATGTCTAATGACGGTCGACTGATGGCTAAAGCTTTTCCCGCATCCCGAGCATTTGAACGGCTTTTCCCCAGTGTGGGTCCGGTTATGCGCAATAAGAGATGACCGGTCGCTGAAACTCCTTCCACAGTCTGAGCATGAATAGGGTTTCTCTCCCGTGTGAGTCCTCTTGTGCGTTGTCAATGTAGACCGGTCACTGAAACTCTTCCCGCAATAAGGGCACTTGTATGGTTTCTCTCCTGTGTGGATTCTCTCGTGTTTCACAAGGTGCGGGCGCTGGCTAAAGCTTTTCCCACAGTCGGAGCATTTGTAGGGTTTCTCTCCAGTGTGAGTCCTCTCGTGGAGGATGAGGTGGGATCGCTGGCTGAAGCTTTTCCCACAGTCTGCACATTTATATGGCTTTTCCCCCGTGTGTATTCTCTGGTGAGTAATCAAGACGTTTCTTCTGCAGAAGGTTTTCCAACAAACTGTACATTTATACTGGGACTCTCTTGGAAGTGTCCTCTCAGACATGAGAAGATCAGATCTGAGCCTAAGGACTTGTCCGGATAGAAGTCTTGTCTCTCCCCTCCCACCCTTGAGGATTACTGGCTGCTTCACTATGGTGTCATCAAGATCTTCATATCCTCCCTGCGAATTGATGAAATTTCCTTCCTGGGCTTCTGAATTTCCTTGTAGGTTCTCAGCTTCCTGCTTCTGGCCATGAAAACAAGTAGCACCTTCCCCAGCGTGTCTTGGTAATGCTGCAAACGGATCTAATTCCTCCGGATTACCTGGCTGATTCTGTTCCTTCTCCTGTGTTATCTTAGGTTGCACTGGAGGGAGAAAAATAATAACGTGTAGGTTATTTCAACATATGAAAAAAGCTCTCTCTACCGATATTGTTCCCTTTCAAATGCTGCCTGCCACTCCTGGAGCCTTCTTTTTCATAACTCACCTGAGGCGACTAAAAATTTCATACAAGCGAGTACACAGATCTCACGATCTCTTAAAGAGTAACAAGTTTTATTTGGTATAAACTTTAGTTACTGAGGAAATGATTTTAATAGAGGGATGAGTCTACTATCCACTTAATTGGTGCACTTTAAACGCAAAATCCTGTTGTGCAGGTTGTGTAGCTGGCCTACAAATTGTATAGCACTATTCAAATATTGTCATACATAAACACCACTTGCATGTGTGTTTGGGACACATATTTTCTCTTTTTTATTCAATGGAAAATTCTGACGAACCTCAGACAGCATAATGAACATTAAACATAAAACCAGCTATTCCATTCTATACCATTTCTTCTGTTGTTCTCTGTCATATCAAACCCACATAAAATTTAGTGTACATGGTCTACGGCCCGTTTCTTCATTTAGAATTCAAACCAGTGGTTTGAGTTTCCAGCTGCAAAGCCAAAGGTTTGGAGTTCAATTCCCCAGTGTGTTCCTGAGAGCAGAGGTGGCTTGTGTGGCCTTGGGGAAACTGCACAATCCCGGGGCACCCCCAGAAGAGAATGGCAAATCACCTCTGCGTACACTCTACCGAGAAAACCCTGAAAAGGGTTGCCATAAGTCAGAACTGAATTGATGGTACATGATGATTATCATGTAGAAGGTGGTAGGTCTTGTTTTCTTGATTACAATACTGAATCATATTTACCCCCAGATGTTGAGCAAGAAAGATGGAATCTAAACTGAACCAAACGGAATCAATCATCTCCGCTCTGCCAGCCGGGTTCACTTCCATGCTAGCTTGAAAGGAAAGGGATACCTGCGGTTTTCCTCTATCTTTAGTATCTTAGGGGGCAACCACTTAGATTTAAAAAGTGGGAAATGTTAAAGGTTTCAGACAGGCTGATTTATATATTTTTTCCATTGATCACATGATGCAAAGGGAAATATGAATCCCACCAAACCTCTAAGTTTTCCCCTGTGCCACTGGGGCTTCTACTTTAAAAAAAAAAGCCTTTAACATCAGTTCAGGCATGTGATGTGAGCCAATGAAAAAAAGGGAGGATGAGCTGCACACAAACACAAAACAGTCTTTGTTGAAGCCCCTTCCTTCTCGCCTTTGCCTTATGAGGAAGGAAGAGCCACACATACACTCCAGCAAAGCCTCTTTCCCAATACACACTTTTAACAGCTTCACCTCCATGGGCAAGCCTCCTGGCTTGTTTAATTTTTTTTACAGCTTTAGAATGAGCTTCTCTTTGTCAGAAAGGGTTTGATCTTAATGATAACAAGATAAAAGTCCATGAAATTGAGGAAATGAAGCCTTGTTACAGCTTGTTAAGGCAGTTCTTTATAATGGCGCCATCTTTAGGGCTATAGCTAGAACTGCATGCACCAAACAAGGCTTTTTCCTATCTCTCTGTGTGGACTCATAAATGAAACAGACCCAAACCCCCTGGTGCAACTTCACAGAGCATGAATGTGAGTGAATTTACATTTCCCTCACTGTGTAGTAACACCGTCAGTAGTTTAATATCCTGAGTTCGTGTGCAAAGAGGGGGCTTTGCACCAACTGCTCAGGTTGAAGTCTTTCTCCTAATAAGCTGCCAACGCTTCAGTCATTGCCCTTTGAATTTCAGAGCATCTAAAATAACATGGAAGGAAGACGTCTTACCCAACATGGTGGCATCTCTGTCAACCTCTTGTTTGATCTTTCCAAAATGGAGCCTCTGCCAGGTGTCTGGTGGAGCCTGTTTTGCCTCTGGGAAAACATGATCCACTTTCTGGAAGAGAAAATACCAATTACCAAAGTGAGAATCTCTCTCAAAGATGCAGGAACAGAAATAGTATTTATTTATATGCATTTTTATTCAAGATGTCCTGGGACACCATACAAAAAAGACCAAAACGATCAGAATGCACATTTTAAAAGCCAGCAAATTATAAAAGTATCATATTTTTCCGTGTATAAAATGACACTTTTTCCTAAAATAATTAAAGGAAAAATTGAGGGTCGTTTTATACATGGAAATAGGGGGGGGTCAAAGCGCTTTGATCCCTGCTTTCCCCCCTCCACGTTTTGCAAAGAAAATGTTTGCGACAAAAATGTAGGAGGAAAGCAGGAATCGCTTTCCCCCTCCATTTGCATTTCAATGTGGTCAAAGGTGACTATTAGGAAGAATAACTATGAAGCAAAAAGCACATCTTTATGTTTAGAGGAAATAGAAGCATTTCAAAAGAATTTCAGGGAAAAAACCTATTTGTCTCTAAAACACCACTGACCTTTCAGATCGAAATAGTTTGGGGACAAGTTATCTGAAGGACTGCCGCCACCCACGGAAACTTACCCAGACCCTATATTCAGCCTCAGAGGCCCTGCTGGTGGCTAGAGGAGAGAACGTGGGCACTAGCTGGTCCACCAAGGCCAGGCTTTTCCACAGGTGGGGGGCACACCTGAGAAGGCCCTCTCCTACATCATTGTATGGTGCAATACTCCCAAGGATGGGCAAAACACAGAACTCAAACAATTTAAAACATTCCGTCTTAACTTACTTTTGCGTTAAAATAGGAGGAACAGATCTCATCCTAAGTATGTGGAAAACATTAAAAGCATAACTTTTCAAATTCTGTATTTAATATGTCAGAGCTTGCCATGTGTTTAAGAAAAGTAACAACTTGAGTTTCAATGTATTAAATGAATTCATTGTTTACCATCTCTGACAGGGAGAGACATGAAAGAGTGCCCTTCTGGAAATCTTAATTATTGTGTGGGTGTACGACTATATAAAGGACAAGATGATTGGACAGTGTATATCGAAGTGACCAACATGAATTTGACCCAACTCCGGGAGGCAGTACCCAGACCCTATATTCAGCCTCAGGGGCCCTGCTGATGGCTAGAGGAGAGAACGTAGGCACCAGCTGGTCCACCAAGGCCAGGCTTTTCCACAGGTGGGGGGGGCACACCTGAGAAGGCCCTCTCCTACATCATTGTATGGTGCAATACTCCCAAGGATGGGCAAAACATAGAACTCAAACAGTCAATTTAAAACATTACGTCTTAACTTACTTTTGCTGCAGCTAGAAGCCCAAACCAATGAGTTGCCCAACAGTTCTGTTGAAACCTACCTACAGCCCAAATAAGTTACCATATTTTTCCGTGTATAAGACACCCCCCCCCACTTTTCTAATCCAAAATTAAGCAATCTAAGTGAGGAGTAGCAAGTGCAGGGGGAAAGGGATCAAAGCGCTGCAGGATCGCTTTGATCCCTGTTTTCCCCTGCACTTGTTTTTGTTCTCTCCTTAACTTACTTCGGTGTATAAGACGGCCCTCAACTTTTTGGTTCACACAGTAATTTTTGATATACTCGCTACGGGACGAATGCCATATGTAACATGATCATCAGCCACTGTTTCACCACGGAGATGAGCAGACCTTACACCCAAAATCCTTGCGCACCCCTTCAACCTGTGGTAGGAAGCAACCCCGCACAGTTTTCCCACCTGCCCTCGGGGCCTCTCCTCCTCTCGCTCCCTCAGTAGGAAAGCTTCTGCCAGGACCACGGCTTGGGCACAGGTCTCTGGGCAACTTTCATCAACCCATTCCCGCATCTCTGGGGGCAGGACAGCCAAAAACTGCTCCAGGACCACCATCTCCAGGATTCGCTCTTTAGTGTGTTTCTCTGGCTTCAGCCAGCCGTGACAAAGTTCCCGGAGCCGGGTGCAAGCCTGGCGGGGCCCCTTGGCCTCTTTGTAGCGGAAGTGCCTGAAGCGTTGGCGCTGGACGTCACCGCGGACGGTCTTCTCAGCCAAGATATCTTCCTTCACCTTCCTCCTGTCGTCTGGGTCTTTGGCCAACAGGTTGTCAGCCAGCGGATGGGCTCTGCTGGGTTGGAGCAGGACCTGGCTTGGTTTTTCATGCCTCCGATGTTTCCTGGCATCCACAGCTCCCTCAGAAGGAGACACGGTGGCTTGAGATTCATCCCTTAATGCTGACATCATTTGCTGTGCATTTCTTCCTTCAGAGGAGGAAGACGCCGTTGCTTTTAGGAAATCGTGCAGCTGGGCTTCCCAAGGCTGTGGTGGCCCCTTCTTCTTCAGTTCATATTTCACACACTTTGGCACGTTACTCTCCCAGATCGCCTTACGGCGCTCAGCACGGACCACATTCAGACCTTCTCTTGCTGCTTCCTCCACGTCCAATAAATCCAATCCCTCTGCTTTCACTCCCTGTTTCGGAATAGCCTCTAGCAGGAGACTCAAAGCTGAAGTCCCTCCTTGCCCGGTGGCCATTTTGTCTTCCACAGAAACCGTGGGCTAATCTGGAACCCTAAAGCCACTTAGGGTAAAAAAAAAATCTGTTCCCAGCAAATTGCTTGAAGGATTTCGAGCTGGACAGAATGGTTCCTGGGGGAGGGGGAATAACAGACTCATTTATTTGTGCACGTATTTTGTATCATGCCTTTCAAAGCAGCTTATAAAATAAGTTTTAAAAACATGATTAATTTACTAATTGCATTAAAATAGCACAGAAATTGAAAATACAAACAACATGAAGTACAATCACCCACCTATTATAAGGCCTCAACTTTAAAAACAGATGTTAAACTAAAAATTAAAATTCTTGATGCAAAGAAAGATAATTCTTCCAGAGACAGAGAATCAGGCAATTCACACAATGAAGGAGTAGCAATACTTGTACTAGACCACTAAGAACCCTAAGTGGTCTGAATGGATAGTTCAATGGTTTAAGTATCTGGCTGCATAGCCAGATGTTCGGAGTTCGATTCCCCACTGTGCCTTCTGGGAGAAGAGCCAGCCTGTGTAGCCTTTGGCAAGCTACACAGTCCCAAGGCGCCCTCTAGAGGAAGGGAACAGTAAACCATTTCTATGTATTCTCTGCCTGAAAAGGGTTGGCAGAAGTTAGAACTGACTTAATGGCATATGATTATTATTTTTAAAAAAATCATACAGTCTGCCAGCTTTCATAGCCTTTGGCAAGCTACACAGTCCCAAGGCGCCCTCTAGAGGAAGGGAACAGTAAACCATTTCTATGTATTCTCTGCCTGAAAAGGGTTGGCAGAAGTTAGAACTGACTTAATGGCATATGATTATTATTTTTAAAAAAATCATACAGTCTGCCAGCTTTCATGGATCAAATCCCACTTCTTCAGGCATGCACCGGTATCTTGTTGTTAGTACAGAGAATTTTAGAGTCCTAAAAATTCATGGCAGATGGATGTGTCAGACTTATCGTGGCTTCTTAGTGATAAGTTAGAAAGACTGCGTCGGAGGTATGGTTTTCAAGTGACACTTCAGTTACAGTTCATTAGATATCACACCCAGTTCCTCAAGCAAAGAAGCCCAGGCACTCTGTACATGTACAGGGCAATCTCAAATAATTCTGCTCCCTGAAGGAGAGGTGTAAATGGCATTCCCTCATGACACAGTATCGAGCAGCTGAGGATAGCTAAGTTATTCAGATGCACCAGGTAGAAAAATCCACATACACTCTTGTCTCCCAAATTGTGAAAATTAAATAATAAGAAAATAAATAGGTTAACTTTTGCCCTTTTATAATACACCCATTCTGCTGCCTGATACCCCCCTCCCCATTGGCACAGATGCTTCCAAAGCAGAACTTACAAACACTTATGTCTGATTTACAGTTCCCAGAATCCCCCAGGGTAGCATGGTCAGTGTCCATATTGTTGAGGGGGAATTCTGGGAGTCGTAGTCCAAACCTTTCCAGAGCAGTAGCCATTATAAGTCTGCCACAGAAGGGTCTTGCGGCACTTTGCAAACTGAAAACGCTTTACTTGGCCTAAGCTCACGTGGACTGCAAGCCACCAATTTTTCTGCAGTAATAAAAGAAAGAAAAGAGTAACTTTTGCAAGTTCTGCTTGGGCTAACAACTTTTTTCCATTTCCTCAAAGGAACCCATCCAGTTAGAGAAAACAAAGTGGGGAGAACACTTATGAATAATTCAGTTTCTGTCTAAAGTGACACTGGGGTGTGTGTGTGTGTGTGTTGGTAGCTGGGGATGATGGGGGTTGTAGTCCAACAGCTCTAGAGGGCAGTGGGGCTGAAGAAGACGGCAAGCAACGGAGGTATCAGACAGAAACAGGTCTTTCTGTTTCATCGGTTTTCAAAAATCAAATCAAATGAATGAACAGAGACAAAACAGGCTTTTTTTCTGTTTGTGTGGCCACACTCCTGTAACCATCTTTTTCCCGTGTCTTTCATTTAGAAAACCACTCTTAATATATATTTTTTTCACATATAACGTCCAAACGGATACAGAAAGGCACGAAAACGCAACCAAACAGTGACACCAGCCGCTGGGATTTTTAAAAGTCAAGATCATAAGAACTGGAAAGCAAAATCTAAAATCAACCCATCCCTATCTCCTATATATCATTTATTCTATAAATCTCCGTACTCCACAAAGGGGGGGGGGAAGAAAGCTGGTGAAAGAATAAGGACCATTTACAAGGTGAGCTTTGTGTATCCATCGGAGATGGAGGCGCCGCTGCGCTCACACCCAACAAATTCCCAATTTAAGATCCCAGACCTCAAGGCGACGTTTCCACGGGTGTTTTTGTTTCCCTACCCTCCGACTTTTCCTGGAGCCGCAGACGCGCCTGAAGAATTCAAAACCCATTTGGGTCTCCCACAGCAGAAAACAGAGGAAATGATCTTCTATATTCTTTTTTATCCCTCGCTCTCTCTTTTAATCCATAGAGCACAAAAAGCAGAAAAACGGTGCCGCGCCTCGTGTGTCTGGAGAGCAGATTTCTGGGTTCACATTTCGCCTTAAAGGAGCTCAGTAAAGAAGCGACTCCTGCCGGGGGAGATGTTGGAGAAATTCAGATTTATATGTCCAGGAACAGCGGGGGTGGACGGAAAGAAAGAGGGGGGGTCTTTCTGCCTCGCCTTTTGGGTTTTTTTGTGAGAGTAAAATGTAATCGCCTCTACTTTAAGGGCTAGTCCCACCATTGGGAGTAGACTCAGAAAATCCATTTGCTCAATGATCACTTAGTATTTATGCAAATCCCATAGATTCAGTCTGTTTCTGCAACCGCAGCCGAAGAAACACAAAAGCGTTTATTTTCCCCGAGGGTGGTGCCAGCAAATATGACGAACAGCCTTGTAGCACCTGGAAGGTGAAAACGTTTTGTGTAGCAGAAGCTTTAGGGTGGACAGCAAGCTCCCTCCACAGGCAGAAACAAATGTACTGTATTGTGATGTGTCAGAAGAAATTGATTTTAATCTACAAAAGCTGGCATTGAAATAAATTTCTGAGTCTCAAAGCTGTCACAGTCCTTTGTGGGTTTGTTTCCATTCCCATTGATTAAGTGCGCCTGCTTTAGGACCGAGCAACTGGATTAAAAAAAGTTTCTGTGTTAAAAACAAAATTTACTGTTGCAAGTTTAGAGTAGAGTGTTGATAGGTTTGTGTTTTTCTGACAAACATGGACAACTTATTATTAGAGAAGTCCCAATCAGCAGATTTAATACAAGACCATGAAACTGTAAATATTAAAAAAATAACCGTGGGATCCATTCATTGCAATAAAAATTCAAAGGTGGGCAATTTTTTTACTGGGTCTGTGACGACTTACATATATATACATGCAAGCATTCAAGATATCCACAGCTCTTCATAGGAGGGAGGGAAGAGCAAAGTTGGGGATTCATATTGCCGGACTTGCTATCAAGTCAGAATGAAGTCACACCAGTGACTCAAGTTGGACTTGACTTGGGTGTTCTTTTTTTCAATGACTCAACTCGGAACCCATCCTTTCCTCCTTTTTTTCTGGAGAAAAAAAATGTCATTTTTCATAGGGACTCAGGACTTGGTACCAAAGACCCAGATTCGAGATTCAAACCCAAACACTGGCCAACATCCTTGGGAAATAGCCTAAAAGTAGGAGTTTCAAGTTTATATTGATTCAAAACAAGGGTTAGGGTTATGTGTGTTTGTGTGTTTAGTCGTTTAGTCGTGTCCGACTCTTCGTGACCCCATGGACCAGAGCACGCCAGGCCCTCCTGTCTTCTACTGCCTCCCGGAGTTGTGTCAGGTTCATGTTGGTTGCTTCGCAGACACTGTCCAGCCATCTCATCCTCGGTCGTCCCCTTCTCCTCTTGCCGTCACACCTTCCTAACATCAGGGTTTTTTCCACAGCTCTCACTTCAATACATCACGACAGGGAACACCATAGCTTTGACTATTCGGACTTTTGTTGGCAAGGTGATGTCTCTGCTTTTCAATATGCTGTCCAGATTTGTCATCGCTTTCCTCCCAAGACGAAGGCGTCTTTTAATTTCAGGGCTGCTGTCTCCATCTGCAGTGATCATGGAGCCCAGGAAGATAAAATTTGACACTGCCTCCATATCTTCCCCTTCTATTTCCCAGGAGGTGATGGGACCAGTGGCCATGATCTTAGTTTTTTTGATGTTGAGTTTCAGACCGTTTTTTGCACTCTCCTCTTTCACTCTCATTACAAGGTTCTGGTTATGGTTATGGTTACATTTAAGAGACTAAGGATGCAATCACACTGATAATTTGAATGGGTTATTTCCCCCCCCCCTTTTATTCTATTGATATAATAGTATGTATAGTCCTGTAGCTGTAGCATATATTCTTATGGGCCTGTTCACATGGTTGTCTTTAAAATTGGTCTGTTTCTTGCTATTGGTGCTGATGCTGTAGGTTACATGTGTCATCATGTGCCAAAACAGTTTATTCAGGATGCAGTATTTGATACGTTTTTCCAAAATACGTTTTACTAGGTCTCTCTACAAAAGAAATCTTAAGTATGTAACGATAGGAAATTAAGTTTGTTACAGTGGTTGTTAAATAGTTGCTTTCACTAAATATATACATTAAAATGTTACAAAATTACAACTTTTACACTTGGAATTTGTGCTTCACTTCCTCAAGAAGCCTTTTTTCTATCAATGTATTCGCAAAGGTTTTCACGGTTGGGATCCGACGGTTGTTGTAGGTTTTTCGGGCTTTTTGGCCATGTTCTGGAGGTTTTTCCTCACAACGTTTCGCCAGTCCTTGACGGCCAGAGAGACTGGCAAAATATTAGGAAGAAAAACCTCCAGAACACGGCCAATCAGCCCAAAAAACTTACAACAACCAACTTTTTTTTATTCATAGTGGTCCCCAACCTTGGGCCTCCAGATGTTCTTGGACTTCAACTCCCAGAAATCCTGGCCAGTGGAGGTGGTGTTGAAGGCTTCTGGGAGTTGTAGTCCAAGA